ATGTATGTGTACATTTTGAAGTCAGTAATGAAAAAAGAAACTTTATTGATAAGAACAGTATTTAATTTCATTTCCTTTTTTTGTAGCAAAGCTGTTTTAAAGATAACACTTTGAACCTTTCTTCATTGTACACAGCTTTACATGGAATAATTTAAGAAATAAAGTCCGCGTTTTCGTTGTAACTGACTACAAATAGCTTTTTATTTCGAAATATTTCCATTTCTATTTTTTTCTTTGTGATAACTGTTTGAAAGTTGGGGGAATTTATTTCTTGATAATTCTGCCGGAATGTAAATTAGGCAGGTCGATAGGTCAGCAGCTAAGGATGTCTTATACGCATGCAAATCTATAGCCCATCTGTCTCTGTGTCTGACGCTAAGGAGGCCAAATATGCATGTAAATCTCGTGCAGCTGCCTTTGTGCTTGACGTCAGTGTGTGAGGACTATTGAGATTGGCATGGAAGTCCTCGTGTGATTTAAATTTAAATCTATTTAAGTCTACATTTTTAACGTCTACTTCTACAATTTTATTTCACAATGAAATGGAAATATAAGGAATCACTGTCTAGTTTGAAGAGTATGCCAGGGACATCAACAATAGTGGGAAACATGGGATAATTTTTAGCATAAGGGGCTTCGCCCGTTATGCAAATAATCCCATGTTTCCAACTATTGTTGATGTCCTGGCATACTCTTCAAACTAGACAGTGATTCCTTAATAAAATCAAGACATAATATGATGTCAGATGAATGCAAATATGGTATTTCATTTACATTTTGAATAAAATTCAGTCAAAGATTGATAAGGCTGATCATAGGGATTTGTCATATACATGTATGTGTGCATGCTATATACCCTTTTGAAAATACATTGTATTTTTCCCATGGCTATTTCATATTAAATAAGGATTAACATAACTCTCAGAAATGTTCGCTTATCCTCTACAAAGCACGTGTAAGAAATACATGTAAAGATGAAAAGTAGGGATCAACCTCATCAATCTAATGATTGATATCATATCGACAACAGTGCAGAAAGGGGTCACTATAAACAGCAGAATAGGTGGGATTAAGAACTTTGGAGGAAAGGCGTCTCTTGTCGGCTTGTGATACCAACATAAGCTATTTAATGATCAGATATATGAATTATTTCGCAGTAAAATCTAGTAGACAAACAATTACTTTACAAATACAAATGTCAAACACAATATAATCCTTGGTAGATTGCATTAGCGAGAAAAAAACATTATTACGATCGTTAAATTGACAAAAGGTTTTGTTTTACAAGAGGCCCATGGGCCTTATAGGTCACCTGAGCTAATATTATGCAACAACTTTCCAGTTATTGAATTTGATTCATGTTTTAAGTCAGATGATATGGCATTCACAATTTTAAAAGAGGCACCATTGATCATCATAACAATACAATTAGCAGTTGCTCAGTTTGTTTACTTAATACCCATATGCAGGGTAAGGGAACAAAAAATGCATTTCAATTAATCAGTAATATTCAGCAATAATCAGTAGTGCCCCTACCACACATTAACCCCTGACCCTTAGGCCTTGATATTTGATTAATACCAATTTAGGAGCAGATTTCAAACCATTCATTCATTTTCAGTATATAAGTACAGCCCCCTCTATGGTACCCCTGACCCTGGAGCCTTGAAATTCACAATTCTGGAAGATTAGGGCCCTTGTCCATCATAACTATATAGGTAGTTCATCTGCTTAATACCCTGGAGCAGAGAAGAAGATTTTCAAAGAATTAATGTATTTTCGCTATATAATCAATAGAGCCCCACCCTTACACCAGAACCCCTGACCCTGGGGCGATAAAATTCACAGTTTTGGAAGAGGCACTCTTGCTCATCATAACTATGCACTTTGTTAGTTTATTTAATACCTAGGAGCAGAGGAGAAGATTTTCAAAGAATTCATGTACATGTATTTTCACTATATTGTATAATCAATAGAGCCCCACCCTTAAACCAGAACCCCTGACCCTGGGCCGATAAAATTCACAGTTTTGAAAGAGGCACTCTTGCTCATAATAACTATGCACTTAGTTAGTTCATTAAATACCCAGGGGCAGAAAAGAAGATTTTCAAAGAATTCATGTATTTTTACTATATAATCAATAGAACCCCGCCCTAACACCAGAACCCCTGACCCTGGGGCCATAAAATTCACAGTTTTGGTAGAGTCACTCTTGCTCATCATAACTATGCACTTAGATTGTTTATTTAATGCCAAGGAGCAGAAAGGAAGATTTTCAAAGAATTAGTGTATTTTCACAATATAATCAACAGGGCCCCGCCCTAACACCAGATCTCCTGACCCTGGGGCTATGAAATTCACAATTTTGGAAGAGGCACTCTTGCTCATCATAACTATGCACTTAGTTAGTTTCTTTAATACCAAGGAGCAGAAAAGAAGATTTTAAAAGAATCAATGTATTTTCACTATATAATCAATAGAGCCCCGCCCTAACACCAGAACCCCTGACCCTAGGGCCATCAAATTCACAATTTTGGTAGAGGCAATCTTGCTCATCAAAAATATGCACTTAGTTAGTTTATTAAATACCCAGGAGCAGCGCAGCACAGTTAAGGTTACAAAAAGGAGGCGGAGCCTAATTTTTACGGGAAAACTCGACTATGACATCATACACAATATACGTCATACAACATTTCTTTATAATACTACAAAATGAGTTTATCTGCTAATTTAACCAGTAAGAAATCTTCAAACTACAAAAAAACTTACTACAGCGTGTTGTTTTGTCGTTAGTTAATTCTCACATAACAAGTTATAAACAAGTCACTGATCGCAATACACTTGTCAATATGACGTCATTTTTCACAACGTGACGTAGTTTGTATGCAGTGAGACATAGATCAAGTAATATTTTCTCAACAAAATATGTATTCTCTTATTAAATAAAATATTATTCACAGACATTTTATGAGCCAACAACTTGAATTTACTGTCTTCTTCGCTATTAAATTAATATATTTTCTGTACATTACGTATTTAATTGACACTGCCGTATATTTGTATGCAAGTACATCGGAGGGTAATCCGGGGGGTCTTAATAAATCGATCTAGTGCAAGGGCATAAACTCTACGGATCAAAGTAAGCTTTTACATTTCAATTATAGAACTATTAAGGTATCTGAAAAGTGCTGCGATCCTGATGAAATCTTAAAAACAATTTAATTATATCAATATTTCATGCTGCTGACCAGCAAAAAATATAGCATTCGGTCATACAAATATAATTTTAAAAATGAAATTGCAGAATTTGTACAAGATCGCATGACTTCTTAGAAAGTACAATACGTGTTGAAAATATTTATATGCTAAACTTGGAAATTTAACTTGGTTATGCCCTTGCACTAGTGATATTTATATGTAACAACAATACTTCAAGTCAATGTGCTAAAATCGCATGACTGCCGCATCACGTGACTAAGCTAAATATAAAATATAATCGTCCTCGATATGTAGTTATTAATGATTATTACAATAATCCGATATAAATAATGTACTAAAAATAATCGCCATTCCGATTACGAATACATTTTTAATTACAAAATTTAGTCGATATTTCCATTGCGCACCTTAACTGTACTGCGAAAGAAGAAGATTTTTAAAGAATTCATGTATTTTCACTATATAATCAATAGAGCCCAGCCCTTACACCAGAACCCCTGAGCCTGGGGCCATAAAATTCACAATTTTGGTAGAGGCACTCTTGCTCATCATAACTATGTACTTAGCTGGTTTATTTAATACCCAGGAGCAGAGAAATAATGCATTTTCACTGCCTACTTATTTAGCCCCGCCCTAGCACTAGAACCCCTGAACCCAGGGCCATGAATTTCACAATTTTGGTAGAGGACTCATTGCTGATTACAATCATGCAAACAGTTTGACTGCTTGATGTCCAGGAGTAAAGAAGAAGATTTTTAAAGATTGCATTAATTTTAGTGGTTTTGGTCCCACCCCTCAGGGCCCAGGGGGACAGGGATCATGAAATTCAAAATTTTTGTTCCCCTTTACCCATAGATGCTTTATGCCAAATTTGGTTGAAATTGGTTTAGTGGTTGCAGAGAAGAAGCTGAAAATGTTCAAATGTTAACGCACGACGCACGACGCACAACGCACGACGACGGACGAAAACAGATAGCAATAGGTCACCTGAGTTTACTTAGGTGACCTAATAAAAATAAAATGTATGTCAGGAGCTGGCTTCGGTTCAAAAAAATTTAACATACTTCGGTTCTAAGAACACAAACTTGGAACATTATTTAGTTAAAATTTCATATCATTACTATTTGAGAAAAACATTTGATTGTGAACTGAAGTTCATTACTGAATGAAGACGTTTCACTTTATCAATTATCATTTGGCAAAGAAACAGTCACAACATATGTTATTATCGGATTGAAATGTGTACATTCATTGATTCCAGACAACATGTGACTGGTGGCTACAAGTCTATGTCTATCAGGTTTGAATGAATATCTTTCAATATGGACGACGGTTTCTGTTTTAATTTCGATATTAATATCATTTACATTTATTGTAAAAAATACATTTCAATTATTTGTTTTCTTAAATTAAAATAGCAGATATTTCAAGAACTGACATAAGATTTATCGTGGATATATCATATGTGATGGTAAGTTGTAGATTCGATCAAGCAAGCAAAATCCTACTGAGTAATATCGTTCGGTTTGACACAATGCTAGGTTCAATAATGAAACGCAGCTTAAGGTCACGAGGAAAATGCAGAACTGGGACCAGTTGGAAAGGTGAAAACTTTTCAATTTTTTATATAAGTACTTCATGGAATCATTTTATGCTTTTGGGCGATACAACGTTCAAATCTACCAAGTGATTATATAAACATATTTTCGAGACAAAAAAGGCATAGAAACAAATGAATTATGAATTATTTTATTTATATTTTTAAATTATTTCATGTAAGATTGTATGCCTTTAGTATGTTTTCATTTAACTTCCTTTACTTTCTGATTTTCATGTCAGCAAACATCAGGGAGTAGTGATATCCTAGCCAGTTATGCCAGTTAACACCATTAGCGTAGGATGAATGATTTCCTCTCAAGTAGAGACCATTGAGATTAGCCAGGTGAAAAGTTCGGTACCACCACCCCCCTCTGAATCTATGGGCACAAGTCTTATCATCATCACGATCCTTTGTGACAAATTTGGCGCCATTGTGTCGACTCCCAAATGCGTCGCCTGAAGATAAAGAAAATACCGTGCAATTTTAGAAATATTAAAATGCAATAAGAAAAGAAAAAAATTCAAAAGATGAGGCATGTCACGTTACCAGCGTTTCCACTGTAACCTAAGACTCTCAATAAATAACAAGATTCCTCATTTCCAACATTGAAGGTGCTGTAGCTTGCATATCGAGAATTTCCTGAAAAATCCTTCAAGTCGATTCGTAAAGTGTATCGTCCTGAATTTGTAAGTGTGTGGATTTTGTCATTCCCTGTCAAAAAGATTCTCTGTCGTTGTAATCAATGATTTTTCTTTTTGGCATTATTAGAAATTTGTTGGATTTCCACAAGAAATTCAGAACAAAATTACGATAAAAACCTTTACTAAGGCTTATCAATGTATCATGAACATCAAGATAATAGAACCTTGGTTTCTATTCTTAAGATGAATGAAATAACCGAGGAAATATAGGAAAATTATTCAATGCCTACTTTAATTTTACTCATTAAAAGAAACCAAGGTTTAATAAGTATTAAAATTCTAAGAAAGGTGACAAAATTAACTCATGGTTACATCAATCTCTGTTATTCTCTTACTCATCACCAATAACATTTTCTATACCATTAAATATTTTCCAGAATGATACGTATATAATGCATAATTATACTTTATTTTTATTGACCTTTTACGTTTTTGAAGATTTTGTTTTACTAATGACATAAAAAAACATGAGGTGACATTTAAAAGTATGATATTTAAATCAATTACAAAGTTAGAATTTGCATGAAATATTACGTCTTTACTCAGACCCCAATTTTTTCTCGTATTAAAATAAATTACCACTAGTACACGTGTGCATAAATACCTAGCCAAAATTCATTTGATAAGTTTCCGAACCCGTCTTGTACTCATTCCAGGTTCTGAAGAAATCCTCCGATCCATCCTGTCTCCTTTGTATAACCTACCTAGATTAAAATTCATTTTATACACAAACTACTAATTAAGATGGATAAATCAATCATTTTAAATAAAAATTTAAATTTTCAGCCCCATTAAACATTCTGTTATTTTTTTCCTAGAACATAACATAAAATTATTATCATGCAACAACTTAGAAGTAGAAAATTGTAAATGTTGTCAATTTCAATTTGATGTCACGTGGTCATTACCGCCCATCCGCCCCCAGCTGTCTCTTGATCACAATAGACCTGGAATACTGTTTCTTTATTTGGGTAAATGGAATACACCTTACTCTCTCTGTAACCTCTCATTAACAGGTCTTCACAGTTTTGTGGATAAAACGTATGACATGCGTCTGTCAAACAGGAAAAACAATGATTACAAGTAACATGAGTGAATGTTTAAGAGAACCATTGAAAATAATAGATTACAATAGTAGTCGGAAAAGTCTTTCCTTTTTTATATTTGAAAATCGTACAAACTTGAAATAAACCTTTTATGACCGTGTTCTTTTTTTAAAAGCAAATCTGCATATGAAATAGTATTATTTATGAACAATATTTATGATTATACAAGCAGTGAAAATGTTTGCTTCAAAAAAAATTCAAACAACATATTTGGAAAAAATCATAGACATGTTTTTATTTGCTCGACCCATGAAAACAACTGGCAATTTTTGGGAAATCCTTCCACTGTGTTCTTTATTCTAATTTTTAAATAATTTTATTTTAGATCAACTCTAAGATTATACTTTTTAAAGATACAATATTTAAACATACAATATTTTAGTATAATATCTTTGTTTGAAAAAATAAAAAAAAATCGTTTTCTAAGGTTTTCTATACGATATGTTTGGAATTTTAAACCATAAATTTCATTTTTTGATCAACCCTAAGTTTATATTTTAAAGAACATAAAATGTCTAAAGTCGAATAATAGGTCAAGTACAATTATGTACATTTATGCTAAATTTTAACTTGATCAATAATTTATCTGAAGCTGGTTATGAACAGATTTGCAAATTTATATAAAAGAAAACATTTGATTTCAAATTGATAACATAACTGATTTTTAAATAAATAGAAAAAGACTAGCAATTTCAGTCTTACCTTTCCCACAACTTTGTAGTAATGCAAGTATTGTTGCCAGTTGCGTGTTTATTTTTCTGATATCCTCTTTTGTTGCCAATCCTGTGTTATAATCAGAAATCTGTCCTCCTGATTTCAGTGTATGATTGCTATTGCAGATAGCGTCCTTCACTTTTACAATATTTGAGGCAAAATTAAGAAGCGTATGAAATGAAGTCGTCTCTATTACGCATTGATCTATTGGCTCGGGTAAAATCGCACTCGTAGCTCGTACCAAAAATAGTACAAATAGTATGGTGTTCATTTTAGTTTAAGTCGTCTGTTAATTAGAGAAAAAGTAGAATTAAAAACAGTAGATTAAATCTCAACCAATAATGTTCAGAATTATATGTAAAATATTTCAGCTCTTTTATATAAATATGGCTGTTGAACAGAGATAATTCACAGTAAAATATGGCCTCTACTAGACCATAAGTACATGTAATCATCTGTCTGATCAAAATTCAGTAAAATATGATCTCTGCTAGACCATAAGTACGTGAAATTATTTGTCTGATAAAAATTCAGTAAAAAATGATCTTTACAAGACCATAAGTACATGTAATCATTTGTCTGATCAAAATTCAGTAAAATATGATCTCTGTTAGACCATACGTACATGCGATCATTTGTCTGATCAAAATTCAGTAAAATATGACCTCTGCTAGACCATAAGTACATGTAATAATTTGTCTCATCAAAATTTCAATTTAAGGAATCAGGTGAAAATATGACAGTGAAACCGGGGGAATAAAATCAACAATCAAAATCTTCATTTTCACCTACCTTCTTATGGAAAGTTGTAAACTGTCAATATAGTTCCACGATATCTTAAAATAAAATATGGACGGTACGCTTCTTTTATTTTCTCTCACCCAAATTATCGTGACTTTGTAAGATTTAAATTTGATTTGCAAAATTCCTGCACAGATGGTGCAATATCATGATTTATTTCTAAAATCATGTCTAATCCTTTATTCCCACTCAAGGCCCCTGGTGATTCATGCCAAAACTTCAACTTCTGAGCTGTTGACAAAAAGATATATCGGCTGATATTAAACCATCAATCAATCTGGTGACATTATTTTTACCTTTGTAAAAGGTCTCAACCTGGAGTCAAACCTTGGACCTCAAGTTCACTTTATGCTTGCTAATAATCTCATTATGCATTAATTGCAAATTTTAACTTTTCACATTTTTCTATTATTATCATTATAGTTTTTCATGCACAAAACTTTGAGTCTAATGATTGACGTTTTCCTGAAAATTTGTTCAAAGGAAAAAACAATGTTATGTTAATTATGTTGTAGAACCGAGAAAATCAAAAAGTTTATCAATATAAAAATCAAGAAATATTTTGTCTTTTTTTTTAATAATTGTTGAAAAAGAATTATTTTCATAAATTATAAGGGATAATAATCTTTTCTTTAATTTTAATTGAGATTGCATTAAAGATTATCTAACATCGTCTAAGAAATCGCAATTTCACTACAAAGTAAAGACATTCATGTATTAAGTTGTAATATAAAATGAAGTTAATTCAATAAAATCCCAATGTAATAAAGCATCTAAGGCTGCCTTAAGGACGATGCATTGATTAATCAGCTGACATCTTTTTTAAAGTTTTTGTTTCTTTTATGTAATATATTCGTATATCTTTTCACAATAAAACACGCTTATAAAAAAGGACCAAGAACGGAAGATATTTGCTTCTTTGTCAGGATAATTTTATATTGCCATTAAGAAGATTACATTATATTTCAAGGACTCGAGGAAATAAAATCAATTCGCTAAAAATGGCAATTATTGTTAGTATATTAGTTGTAAGTGTCATTTACTGTTACAGTAGTACTTTTCAAAAATTAATTTCTGATTTACTGCAAAATCTTATACTTGAAAAGAAGAAAAACAATTGCAGTGACCTTAAACTCGATATTTGAATATATCGCTGACGTTTTGTGTCAATTACCAATAATCACTTTTATGTCTTCAAATGCTCGGCAGGCTCACTGCAGCTAGTTTTTGCTTAATTTGTTAAAGATAAACTCAAACACATTCACAAAGATGAATAATATCATTTATTTAAATGACGATATTAAAGAAAATACTTAATACAAAAGAATGGGGATCAGACTCACAAGCTCCGATTGAAATGACGTAAAATATGAAAAATTCCTATAAAACAATAAGATCAAACATTTCAAGAAAAAAATATTAAAAAAAAAAAGATGGCACATCAAAAGAAAAAGGGTGACACATCAAAACAAACATATCGATAATTACAAGATTAACTGATTGATTGTATGTTGTTTAACGTCCCTCTCGAGAATTTTTTTACTCATATGGAGACGCCACCACTTGCCGGTGGAGGGCTACAAATTTTGTTCATGCTCGGCACTCAGGGCCTTTGAGCAGTGAGGGATCTTTTTCATGCCAGCTGCTACGGGGCCTCGGTTTATACGGTCTCATCCGAAGGACCGGTCTCCACATCCAACAGTGGGATTCGAACCCGCGGCGTAAGGATTGACTCCTTACTTCGCGACTCTAGAGCAGACGCTCTAACCACTGCACCACGCTGGCGACGATAATTACAAGAATCCTATCTTATACAATTTATAAAAATGCTAGAGGTAGGATTACATTGGCGGTGGAGGGTCTTCAAAATATAAGTGATTCCCAAAATACTGTGGACAGCGCGGGAATAAAATAACAAGTGATCCGCTCAGTTGTCCACGTGATCCTAGCCCGCTAATCATTGGCTGGAACTTCACATACCACCGGCGTAACATCCTATCCTGCTATATTTATTACTTTAACCACCACACACATGTGAAAACAATATATAATTTCCATAAACAACGCATTTAATACATAAATTCAATAATAATCATAATTGCTTTTGTTTTCTTATGTCGATGTTGTATATCCCGGTGAGCTTGAAAAAAAAATACCACAGCCTGTGATTCCTACATTCCGTATATTGTTTATCTCTTTCGATCTTTGTAGCCGTTAATATTTTCTTTTCTAATTTTAAGGTTTTGCTTGACAATTGCAAACAGCAGATGCAAGGGAAGTCGCTTTGGCCAAACATAGAAGATACCTTTTATACATACGTCTGCAAAAAGGTCAACCATGTACAGGTGAAGGACTTCACATTTAGACCTTTGCTCAGCACATAGGAACATTGCGCAATAAGGGTTATTTAATTATTTTCCCATCTCTCAGCATGGCCTATTATTTTACAAATTGAGAATTGAAACACCTTTGGTATATTTAACCATGAAATTAGAACAATCAAAGATTGCGTTTTTATTTTTTATTTTTTTATTTTCCATTGTTTCTCTAGTGTTTTTTTAAAACTAACCAGAAAAACAATTCGTTTTCATCCAAAGAATTAAAGATCGGGGATAGCTTTATTTATCAAATGAACGTTTTTATCAGATATTTTGCTCATTAACAGAGGTAATTGAAATACCGTTTAAGTTGAAATTTTAGCGAGACTTTAGTTTGGCATTATTAGCGAGGGTGCTGCGATCGATAAAAATGAATATCGCAAAAAATTTGCGTTTTATTTCTAATAGCTTCTATAGTGAGCATTTGATGAAATCGCTAAAAATTAATTGCGTTTTATATGTAAAAGCGTCTATAGTGACATTTGATGAAATAGATAAAAATACTTCTTGCTAAAAATAAATTACCAAATTTAAAGAAAAAAATCGCTAAATGTCCGTCTCGTTTAAATTTTCACTTATACGGTATATGACATATTTTTCTCAGCATTGTGAGTTTTGTGACGTAAAAATAAGTTTAAATTGTCTATTGCAACTATTGAAAATAATTTTAATTATGACAGAAAAAGATAAGAAAAATGTAAAATTCCAACTTTATTTGGTCTAGAAAAATGTGAAGATATTGACACAAATTTCAGATGATGAATATCAGATGTAAAAACTGTATACAGGGAATTATTCGTCCCTTTCGCCCTATCCACACTTAGTAGAATTCAATCGGGACGACTTAAAAAAAAGAGTATAAATTCTTTTATTTAAAAAAAACATAAGCTAGGCGAATTTAAAACGGGACAAAATTATTTGCAAGTATGAAAGTATGAAAACGGGGCAAAAATAACCATGTATACAGTAAATACGTAATGTATGATAATGAATCATTGACAACACAAAATAAAGGACATGTAAAGGAAAAAATTTATTGTCTTGTGTGTCTATTTTTTTTCACAAAATAGGCATAAAGCTCACCATCATTGTTAAATTTTCTTTACCGAATTTCCGACAATTTCTTATATTGCCCGTCTCTATTTCTGAGTCTACACTCTAGGCATTTGTTTTCCGGATTTTCATCTCAGTAAACTTCAGGGAATAGTGATATCCTCTCCAGTAATACCATTCCACGCCGTCAGCATAGGATTTATGCTCTCCTCTTAAGTACAGACCATTCAAGTTAGCTCGATGGCAATTTTGATACCACCAACCACCTTTATATTGCTTTGCACAACCGTGTGCATCATCACGACCCTTTGTGGCAAATTTTGATCCTTTATGTCTAGTCATCAATGAATCTCCTGAAGAAAATTAATGATGTTCGATTTAGTAGACTGTCTTAAAAAACAAATGATGGTTGACGTTCATCTAACCTGCCTGAAAAATTATGTTTTCTTCTGTTATTATTATACTTTTTTTTACTTTAATCGATATAGTGTAAATTGGTATTTTAACTATTTTCCTATCAACAAGCTTATACTTATTACATGGTGTATACATATATGAACATGTATGATTTCTAGGTTATAGCACGTTTCATTGATTAAATGCACATTTACGATTTTTTAGGAATCAATTAAGTGTTTTAGATTCTAGAAAAAAAACTATTGCCCTAACACACTGAATAGAGATGTAATCATTCTTCGTAATAAGCAATTAGAAAATTTAAAGCAGTATAATTATTTCGTACACTTATTCGTGAAGGTAGATAGAGTTTTTTTTTTACATGTAAGAATAGGCCACAGGAAGACAGAAGGGCATTTCAAAGACTAGTTGTAAACATAGTATAGAAAAGAAGACAATTGAATATTCTTCTCTGCAAGCTAATCAACTGATATTTTCCAAATCTGGATTTTTTCCATGACTAAAGAGAAAAGATTCAAAGAATTTTTCACTTTTTTTAATCTGTAAGATGACTTTAAGTCTCCTCCAAAGAAAACATTGTTTGTATCATCTGTCTTTGATGTAAAAATTAGAGGAGTAACTAGTCAGTGGGGTTAATAAAATTAAACTAATTATTCTATTAATCAGTTATAAGTATTCATCATCAACTTACCAGCGTCTCCATTATAATCTACAAGGTTTAAAATATACCCAGATCGCTCATCTCCGATACTGAAGGTATTGTAGGTTGCATATCTGGAATTTCCGGAGAAATCCTTCATATCGATTCTTAGCTTGTAGTTTCCCGATGATGGAATTGTATGGATTTTATCGTTACCTGTAGAAGATGGAATAGGATTTCCTTTTTATTCTCAGAAAGTGACTTAACATATAGATGTGGAGAGAGAGAGGTAAATTGTAGTGTCAAAGGAATATAAAGAATCATTTTTGAAATTTTTTAGTATTATATGGTCTTTCTAATGAAATTGCCTACTAATACTATCTATCATATGGTCTTTCTAATGAAATTGTCTGTTAATACTATACCTAGCCAGAATTCATTTCCCAGACTTCCAAACCCGTTTTTGTACTCATTCCAGGCTCTGAAGAAATCCTCTGATCCATCTTGCCTTCTCTGTATAACCTAGAGTACAAACAAAAATTTACGAAAATCATTTTTTATTTAACTCACTTATTTATCAATAATCACAATTTTAATTATAATTGTCACCTCTTTATTTTTATCTTGTAACCTTCCTTTCCTCTACTTAAAATCATGGAAATGTAAATTGGGTTGCCTTATCTTTATTATTCAGCTGAACAAAGTCGAGCAAATTGAAAGATAGGCCTTTCCGATATAAAATATATAATTTTACCTCAATCTTTCATGCATCAAACTAATTTATATAATGATAATGAGTAAGAATATGAGACTATATGTCCTTTGCATTTAAAACATACAAAAGAACGTTTATTACCATCCATCCACCCCCGTCTGTCTCCTGATCACAATAAACCTCGTATACCAATCCTGTCTTTGGGAAAATGGTGTACACCTCACTTTCCCTGTATCCTTTCAGCAAGAGGTCCTGACAGTCTTCTGGATAAAACCTGTTACACGTGTCTAAAAAAAAATAACGTCAGTGCATTTTATGAAAAAAAATCAGATTGAAAATAAAGTTGTTTAAATAATTCATAAGTTATATGTTTATATAATAAAAAATTATGTTCAAATATACAAATTAGAAAGTCAGTTTCATGAAAAAAAAAATCTATTTAAACATTTGTACGTCTACAATGTAATTTAATGGCATATTTGTGTCACTAATGCATGACTTGTTTTATGCCTTTGCCAGTTATTTTCTAAAAACCTTCAGGTCTAGATAACTTTTGATCTTTTGTTTTTAAAGACCAGATAAAATGTCTGATATATGAAATTTGAATCCCTCTACGATGGCATGCAATTAGAAATAAAAAAAATACTTTATTGTATTAGAACTAGAAATGTCTTACTAGTATGTTATTGATGTAAATTAAAGAATACCAGGTGAATTTGATGCAATATGTGTCTGTGTCTTTTCTCTTGATTCTCCCTTGATACGCTGTGACATTTCAGGGGATTCGAAATTTCACAATTAAAGAAATAATTGCATTACCTCTTAAACAGCTTTGGAATAAACTGTGCATTAAGACCAATTTTTGTTCAATTTCCTTGATATCTTCTTTTGTTACGAACTCATTGCTGTGCCCAGTTCTTTGGTTTATCGCCGTCGTTATAGTTCCATTTCCATTGCAATTACCGCCCTGTTGTTGAACGACTTCCGAGGCAATATTTTGAAGCGAATGGAACGAAGTCTTTTTTATAACACATTGATCAGCTGGTTCCAGTATACTCGCAGTATACTCGCAGTTGTCATTGCTCCCAAAACAGTATAAATATTAAGGTGTTCATTTTAATTTTCTTTAACCTGTTAGAATAGAATGGATATTCAAAACTGAAAAAGTAAATAATAATTCTATAGATATTGCTGAATGAAATACATACAATAAAATAATCAAATAACAACTAAAGGGATGTTTCTTGTAATAAAATAACATGGAAATGGTAAATTTGTAAACTTACCTTTTCCAAGTAAAGCAAGTAAAGCTTGCAAACCGTAGCAAACAAGACTCCGATGAGGTCCGAGTTGAAGGATCGTTTTATTCTCAACTTCATCCAAATGATGCTGTTTCTAGACTCATCTATGAGCAACTAACGTGTGGCAGGTGGTAAAAGACATGTTTTTTTTTTCAAAATCGTGTAATACCTGATTGAAAGCCATTGCTTCTGATGGATGGTGTCATCACGTTTACCTTTTGGATATTGCAGATAAATTGATTGATATACTCAAACAAATTAACCTGGTGACATATTCTTCATGTTTTGTAGAAATTGACGTCTCGCTTTAGACTCTATGAGCAAGCACCGTAGTAAAAAAACATTTGTTTTTTTTCTCACCCTACAGATTTAACATCCAATCAAATTAAGAACACTGACAAGGCTCTGTTTCTAGGGGAAAAAATTACTGCATATATATTTTTTGAATGATACAAAAGTGACTGACAATAATACGGAGAAAAACAAAAGTCTAATTTATAGGAGTAAACAAAACGCACCTGTGCGTCCTTCAATTAGCTAAAATCATTTTTACAAAAAGAAAAAAGCGATGACGAAGTCGGTGAACATTGTTTTTTTCGGATACAACCACACAAGGAATGGTAATTATCTTAGCTGTGCTAGGAATGATTGACGGATACGGAGGATTGTTCTTATAGGTCGTGAGAAGGAAGTGCCAGCTAGTAACAATGATAAAAAAAATACATTACAAATCAATGCCAATATCTGTTTGACATCATGTTTCCAATAGAGTTAACACAAATATAATAAAAGAAATAGAAGAATAGTTTCAATGAAAATTACAAGCTGAGGGAAATGCATTTTAAAAAGAACGATGTTTGTAAATGTATTTTTAGAAGAATTTTTGGCCAAATATTAAATGGAATTGGAAACGAAGATACAAAAATTAACTATATTTTCAAAATAATTAACGGCTTTGAAATTAATGTGGTATAGAAAAATGTTATCAAAACAAAAAATGTAGTTTTTAAGAAGGGTGGGGGGCAATGCACTGCGAGTTGTAAGCATTGATTTGAAATCTAAGATGGGGTAGGGGGAAATATGTATGAAAGCCAGAAACATTGCAAACTTCCCTAAGCAAGAAGTGTTATGTCAATGCCACATAGTAATATGCCTTGAAGTCAGGGATTTTTAATGTATATCAGTAAGCAATTGTCGACATTTGTGGGAAAGTAACCCGTGAGATATATACTCTAGATGGACCTTAAACAATATACAATCTATCAATCTAGTTCTAAATTGAATTAAATTTTACGTCAAATAAACCTTGTGTCTAAATTAGGGGTCATCTATAATATGTGCAATGTCCTTTAAATTAATAAATCACCTCATACTTAATTAATTTTTGAATTCAGTATTTTCAAAGGTTTTTCCCTTCTTTCTAGCTTTTTCCAAAAACCATACGCTATACTCATTTAGAAAATGTATCAACCATCTGATAACCTTCTGAATGATTCTCCTAATTCTGCATCAGTTGTTTAGTTTGATTACATGTACATTTGAACCTTATAGTCAATATAAACTTTTTTATATATCCTTAATGAGACATATGTAAATAATTTTAGCAAATAGTATTAAATATTAAAAGTCCATTAAACAATACAAAATAGGACCAGGTCAAACACGGACCTCCAAAACATCGGATTTGGGATCAGGTGCCATGGAGGAGTGAGCATCCCCTGCCGACCGATCATACCCGTGGTACGCGTTTGCTCCTTGTCATAATAGGGAAATAAGAAAAATTCGTCGTCAGTTCAGTGTATAAATAATAGACTAACAATAGATTTATAAGAAAACGACAGTCTGCATTTCATTTAATGATAAATTGTATTTTCTGACAAGGTCCTTATAAATATATCAACCATAGAACTTTCGAAATTATGAATTTAAACGAGACTGCTGAAATTCTTGTGTAATCCACTTGTTTGTCAATAATTTACTTTGTTTTAGACATTGTTCATACATAGATCATGCTCTTGCGTATGGAATAAACTGAAATATATAAACTTCGTATACACGTGATGAAGGTATATAGCTGCATAAGAAAAGGAAGTTCAAAATAGAAAAGTTAAAGTCATCACGTTGTTGTTAGATTACAATTAGCGTCATTTTCAGGTAAAGTATCTAAATACGAAACTGATATGATAGACTCCGTGGTATTTTTTATCTCAAGCTCACCAGGATATATCGTATCGAAGTAAAACACTTGCTAGTTGACAGTACGTCTTCGATGCATCTAATTGTGGAGTTGAATGCAACAGCAAATGTTTTCTTTTTTCTTGTTTTTTACAAAATAAATTGGCAAAGACCAATGACAAGGTATGTAAATTTACGAGTTTTTTATTGAAAAAGTAGCTGTCAATGACATAAAAACCCACTTTAATTCATCCTTGGGGTGGTTATGTATATATATTTGAACATTAGTAAGTTTTTAAGTTATTGATTTTGGTTCTTTGCGATATTAGATATATTCAAAATTGACACAATTTTATTTTTGAAGGATTTCTTCCATAGAAAGGCAACTATGAGTGAAAATTGAAAAGAGGCATATCAACCAACGTACAAATTAAAGACACTCGCTTCTTGTCACTGTTGTAAATGAAATATTGAAAAAGAATATGAATTCGGAGTTTTTCATTTATGTAGACATTAAAATTGTAAAGCATAACGATCTCTCAAATAAAACTACCTCATCTTCTTCGGACTAAGATTTATGCTATGAATTTGAAAACGTAGATATATATAAACTAAGAAAACTACATGTGAGGATAATCATTTATTTGTGTTTTTTAACATTTCAACAAAGATACGTATAATCACACTCTCTCGATTTTTATTTTCTATTAACGATTCTCAGACGTGTGATTTCCGGATTTTCATGTCCGCAAACTTCAGGGAATAATGATATCCTGTCCAGGTATACCATTCCACACCGTCAGCATAGGATTTATGCTTTCCTTTTAGGTAGAGTCCGTTCAGATTAGAAAGGTGACAATATTTGTACCACCAACCTCCTTTATAGGCCTTTGCACATTTTTCTATATCACCATGATCCTTAGTGATAAATTTGACGTTGTTATGTCGGGACATAAATGAGTCGCCTGGGGAAAGAAATGGTTTAGTCAGTAAAATACTAGCGCGGGAATTAAATTATGTTTTCCGTTCTAAAGAAATATCTTTAATGTAATGATAACAGCTCTTTGAATTGTTTTCACGTTAACAAAATGGCATTTAATGTTTCTATTTATATCTGTAAAAAATAATCGTATACTGAAGAATTTATAAATAATTATATAATTCATTGATTAAAAAGTACACTTCTCATGAAATTTTCAAAACACTTGGCTTTGAAAAACAGATTCTACCTGGTGCATAATTTACATGTATGAGTTGATTAAGAGAATTGATTCTTATAAGATATAAATGGTAAATATTGATTTTTTATTTATTAGAAACAAAAGAATGATGACTAGGAAAACTTACCAGCATTTCCACTGTAACCTGAGACCCTCAAAATATATTCTGACTCCTCATTTCCGATACTGAATGTCTTGTAGCTTGCATATCGAGAATTTCCTGAAAAATCCTTCAAATCTATCCGTAAAGTGTACTTTCCTGAGTTTGTAATGGTGTGGATTTTCTCATTTCCTGTAAATTCAGCATTTTCTAGGTGAGGCTTTTAAAAACAAATTACACTAATTTCAGTTGTGTTAGAGATTGCAAAATGTAAAGTAAGTTTACAAGTACCTAGCCAAAACTCGTTTGACAGATTCCCAAAACCATTTTTGTAGTCATTCCAGTTTCTAAAGAAATTTTCTGATCCGTCCTGTCTCCTTTGTATAACCTAGAGAAAAAAATCTTTTTAAAATATTTATTCAGTTTATATAAATTCAGTATATTCATACAGAACTACGTACACTCAATGGTTAACGAGATAAATGCTTCTATGGAATAAAATTTATCTTATTTCAAGACTAAACTATTCCAATACTGCATGTTCCCTTTCTCGAAAATTGCACAACAATCGAAAAAAATGTTATCAAACATTTAGAAAAAATGTACGTGTATTGCAAACCAAATTGAAAGAATACTGAAATATAATTCTTATTTTTTGGCCTACCTCCAAATTAATTTTCAAAAGCTAAGATAGTTTAATGATTTTTTTTACAATGATCTACATGTTTATGTCACTTCACTCAACATTTTTCTAGGGTGGGTTGGGTAGGGCAATTAAGAAAAAAATTATTCAAAACTACCATTTTTTTTAAACGAAAGCAATTCAAATTCAAATTATTACATTACTTTTTAACACATCTAACTTCATCCCAGAGATGAAACAGCGTAGTGTTTAATATGAAATAAAAACTAATTTATTCGGGCTCAAACTGAAGATATTTCATATTCATAATAACACGACGAGGTTCAAAATAAGTTTTTTATGACACCTTTCCCTTCCTGTCCGTTCACATTTGCCTTGACTTCACTAGAGGTGTCTGGATTAAAATAAAAAAAATGTTTTTGAATTCAAGTTGTACGTACATCTTCACATAATTTTTTTCGAAATTTGACGATGCTTTTTTCAAAATACAACAAATAAAGCCTTTACTTTAAAACTTGTATTTCCGTTAACCCACTTATTTCTTCTTCTTTTTTGGTCATGATATCTGGCAGAACGTTTTTATGATCGACTGCAGTAGACGATCTATTTATGGTTGTGTTTGAAAATGCACATAGGGAAAATGAGTCATTATATTAATTAATGGATATTAAGTTCAGTAAAATAACTCTTAAAAGATAAAATGTATATAATGTGAGTAAAAAACTAAATATTACTTGTTTTCTTTTATGTTTCAATTTAAATTATCATTTCTAATTCGATTGATAATTTATGTTTATATGAAGAGTTTACAATAAGGACACCCCATCATTAATGTGTGTAAGATATGGAAGCAAATATTCATAATGTTCCTAATGATAATGATGTGGTTCAAGTGAATGGCGAATTAAAAAAATCAGAAGTTTTTCAACTAGTAAATTTTTTTTCATGAACTACAGTTGTTATGATGCAAAGATATTTTTTTTACATTTTGTACGGCGCCTTGCTGCCTAGCCTATTTCACAGAAACCATGGGAATTATCAAGTGACAAAGATATAGATTATTCCACGTGGTTCATCCTGAGAGACCCACATCTTCATTTTGATGACAATAAATTCTTATCAATTATCATTGACTTTATAACATCGATGAACCCAACTGATGCGCAGAAAAGATGCGCTAAAATTTCTGTTTATTCAAAGTTCAAAATTGTTTAGGTTGATTTGAAGAGGTCTGACAATTAAAAAAAATCACTTTTTCAGATTTCAATATCTTGCGCTTTCCATGCCAGAGCGCTTTAGACTTGTGAAAGTACTTTTTGAAATGCAAATACATCTTTGCGGCTGATTTGATGTTTTGCTTCAATTTTACTTGTTAATCTGGGCACTGGCATGAATTCTATTGAATGTATGCTTTAACTGTTTAAATTGAGTTATAGGTAATCGAGAAAAAAGACAAACATAATCTGAATATTAAATGATAATGATAAAAAACTCTAAATTTTCAATTTTATATATAAAGTTTTTGATCAAAGAATACAATAAGAGAAAACATATTTCCTTTTTGAATTTGATATCAATTAAGTATCAGCATTTTCAAAAAAAAATTACAAGTTTAAGTCTAATAAAAGTGTTTATTACCGTCCATCCGCCCCCAGCTGTCTCTTGATCACAGTAGACCTGGATCCCAGTTCCTCTATTCGGGTAAATAGTGTACACCTTACTCTCTCTGTAACCTCTCAACAACAGATCTTGACAGTCTTGTGGATAGAATCTATTTTTCATGTCTGTTAAAAAGATGCAATTTGACCTTAATTACATCATATGTTATGAGATTGGACTGAGTTCAAAATCTGACATATCTTAGATAAATATTTTTTACCGTGACTGCAGTTCTGTATTAAGTCATGAATCGATGCTAATTTCTGCTGTATATCTATGATATCCTCTTTTGTAGCCCACTCTGTATTGTTTTCCTTACATTTACTGTCCGTAACTGTCTCACTTTTATTACAGCACGTTTGCTGTAGGTTAACGAATTGAGAGGCAAGGTTAAGCAGTGTACTAAACGAGTTCATTTCCGTCATACATTGATCTGGTTGTTTACATTTAGATGTATCTTTCATTGATTCAACAGTTATTGGCACCAGGAAAAGTACAAGTAGTACAATATTTAATTCCATCTTGATTGTCTTTTCAAAGATGACCTTAATGCAAAAAGAATTAATAAATTTTGTTTCTGCCTTTGAGAAATGAGCAAATAATTGCCAATGGATTAATTTTGATATATTCAAAAATTGCATTTATATATTACATGTACTTTACATTTTTTCACATTTTTCAATCATATAAAATAAGTTTAAAACTTCATATTACTACAATCAAGATAAATAAAAGTGTAATTAAGAGTCAAGAAACAGGTATCCATTTTGTTTGTAAGGAATATAAATATTTAAATATTCAGGGATCTGAAACTATAATTAAATCAGGCATTTCTTTCCCGGATAAGCTTTCAATATTTTTTTTTATATTTTGAAAATAAATTATGTTGAGTTTTCTTCAATATTCTTTTCATTAATTTGTAAAATATTCCATTAGATTTTTCATTGATATTTACAGCATAAAAAACTTTGAATAAAGGATTTTTTTTTTTTAAATAGAATCTTATGGAAATTTATTTCTTTCTTCGGTTCACTTCTTACATGTATGACTTTATTAAATAAAATCGTGAAATAATTGCTATCAGTAAATGGAATTGTTTTCAATGCGAACTTACCTGTCCAATGTAAAGAGAGTTAATTTGATGCAGATAAGATATAAATACTAACGTGAATAAAAGGAAGAATGTTTGTTGTACTATCCCTAACTATAATAAACTTGCAACATATGTTCAAAATGTGATACTCTTTTAACGTCACGCTAAACAGTAATCAACTGTTAAACTTTGAAAAGGGTTGTGTTTTAGTTTTATTCCTGTCATTAAAGAGACTTTTTATACATTTCTCTTTTGATGAGATGACAATTAAAATTTTAATTAAATGAAAAATTTTATCCTGTTTTGACTTTTTTAACATTCATTGGATTTTATATAACCTGATGTAAGAATTGTTTTGAAGTGATACATGTAGTGTGATGATATAAAACAATGTGGATTCCTTTGAAAAAAAAATAGAGTAAAACTTATATGTGATGTATGAACATTGGATTAAAAAATGATTTATTATACCTCTATTGATAATACTCGAATTTGATTGGCTGGTAAGAAAACTTTAAAACACAACAATGACTCCAAATGCTACCGTTTACAGCAATACTGACCTAGGAATCATTGCACGTGGGATATAATGACCCGGTCATTATTTTTAATGACCGCAAAAAATGACCGCTTAATCAAAAATTCGTTTTTGAGTAAAGTTAAAATAAAGTTAAAGTTAAAATAATAATTATTCGAAAAAAAAAAATGTTTTAAATTTTAAAATTGTGTATGGTCTGTTTTGCATACCATACAGAATACGGTAAAAATTTATCGTTACAATATTTTGAATATAATCGTTTCAATATATCGTTACAATTCAGTTCAAAAGAATGTAGAGGCGGCTCTTTAAAGAGTTGAATTCTGTGTTAGATTTTGTGTATAGTAATCGTTAGTTATAACAATGTATGTCGCTATCAACTAAATATTGTTTTAATCAGTAAATCATGATGCAAAAACTTTCACGACTTGCAGACGTCAATGTAAACAACTTCGCTATCCGGTCTGTAGCGAATCCCGATCCCGATCAAAGAAAGAATTGATAACGGTTAGAAATTCATACTTTTCAATATATATCGGTATAATAAAACAATTAATACCCCTTGTGAGTTCAACATGGTGAAATAAGGACCCTCGACCTGGCCCACTCGATGACCTGCCCTGACCTCGGCCGCTACGCGGCCTCGGTCAGGTCAGGTCACCTCGTGGGCCAGGTCTCGGGTCCTTATTTCACCATGTTGACCTCACAGGGGGTAATTAATTGTATATTGTTGTTGGATGTGATTTTATTCCACCTTCTTGTGTGTTTTTGCCCAGAGCCTTGCATAAATCTACACAGGCTATTATGACCAGGTCTGCAAAAATTGTATTATTAGTGTTTTATAGCAACGGTTTTCTATTTTGCCTTGTAAGCTACTTTGTTTTCTTAAAAGTAAAAGAATTTTTATTTGCCAAATTCTTTAATTAAGTCATTATGTCTGAGAGCTCTTTTTCAAGTATAAAGGCTTTCACTTAATCACTTAGGTACAGTATAATTAGGTTTTTTTGTGTGGGGAAGTAGGCAACATGGCTATCGTAAAATACTTTAAGTAGTACTTTTAACAGAACAGTATGTTTCTGCATCAGCAGGAGAAAGTTACCAATTGAAAGACACTTAAACTGGTCAGTGGAGCACAAAAAATAAATGAAACAAAAACTTAGTGAAATTAGATGTAAAGAAATGTATTGTAAGATAACAAGCTGGGACACGAATCGTCCATCCCACGCAAGTTCCCTTTGCAATAAAGCAGACACTTGAAGTGAGCGGGAATGGTATGCCCCAAAGTGAACATCTATTTTAGGGAAGCAAATGTGTCCTCTAAATATTTACAAGTAGTTTTCAGCTTTAAGAAGCCTCTGAGATTCATATCAGTGTATATAATTTCAATAGAAAATATAAATAAAAGAAAAAAAAATCCAAATATATATACGTCGTGTAATGCAATTGGTTAATTTCATGAATCTCATAATAAACAACGCTTCGAAAGAAATCTTTCTTTGAATGTAACGAAAAATCAATTAATATTATTTTTATGTGTACTAAGACCTTTGTGACTAAAGTTCTTGTTCTTGTCTGTGCAAATGACTGAGTACAAGTATTTCGTTTTCAAAATACTGGTATTGCAGATGGGTGGATCGGGATCGAAGTGATGTTTTTAATCGGGTTCGGCTTGATCGGGATCGAGTGCTCAATTAATTTAATTTTGCGGAAACACGAGGTTGTAGTATACGTCACCTTCTTGTTACACAATCTTGATAATCATTATATCACACCTCTTAACCTTATTAATATTCAGGGTCATGAACCCAAGGGAGCATGCATTGAATCAGATATTTTCTTTAAACAAGAAAAGATAACTCAAGTTGTTTTTAATGGTATAGTCAGTTTCTTTTATAATTTAAATTGTGATAAAATGGGGGGGGGGATATTGTGAGATATATGTTTTTATTTCTTCAAGATCACTTCTGGTCAATTTTTATGTTGAATAAATAAAATAGATAAAAACAGCATGCAATCATTTTTGTATTTACAAGAAATTTACTAAGCACTACATGTAGACATACAACGGAATGTTCAACGACAAATAAGTTGTATATCACAGGCATATGTTATAATAAATATTATGCTGTTTAATAATGAAGTAAAAAATTGTAAATAAATATTTAGATACCCTTTCACAAGATCTCCAAATTTTGACTATATTTAATAAACATATTTAATAAAAAGTAAGTGCACATGTACATGTTTTTCTTCCTACTCAAAAAAATAAATTTCCATTTTTTAAAGATAATCATCCTTATAATAAAATTCATAGTTAAAATATTCAAGTGTTTCTATCTTCACTGATCTGGTTTAAAATACATGTGTAATTAAAATATGAAATTCATCTAGTTTAAGCATGCAATACCAGTGAGAGCTACATGTAGCTTTTACCTCCCTTTTTTGCAAACATTTCTACACTATTGAATTAAAAACATCAGTTTTAAGTTATAAATCTTATCTTATTATTTTATAACCTATGAAGTCACCTGCATTGCACAGTGGCAAGAGCGTCTGCTCGAGAGTCATGAGTAAGGAGTTGATCCTTACTCTGGTATATTGCTGGTTCGAAATCCCACAGTCGAACATATAGAGATGAGACTGTATATACAGAGGTCCTGTGTTCCAGCAGGTGCTAGCACCAAAAAGATCCCTCATTGCACAATTAGCCATATGCGCCAAGTAAAGGACAGAATTTGCAGCTCACCACAGGCAAATGTTGGCATCCCCATATGAGTGACAATTCTCAAGAAGAATGTTAAACAACGTACAAATAAACAATAAACTATGAAGTCTTGGAATATGCAAATTCTTTTTTTCTGAGAAAGGGATCCTAAAATGATGTTTAGATATGGTTCATAAGAGTAGAAAAGTACTGTTTCATCCCAGCTAGTCTTCATAAATTCTCTCTCTATTACTTTACACAGGATTCTATTATACATTGATATACATGTACATGTAGATATTGGAGTAATTGGGCATGTTTAATATTTTTCTCTGTTTATTCCAATCAGCACGATCAGGATGATAATAATTAAATAATAATGTTTCATATTAAATATGTTATAAATTTATCCTTATAGTTACATATACAATACTCACAACAGGCAAACCTTGAACTTGCACATCACTCAGTCTTCAGAGTATATCCTGCAAGAAACATTCATTGAACATTATAATTGAATTGATTTGATTTTCTTTTTATATATTTGCTTTTTTGTTTTATTTTAATGACATTATAATTTTGTGCATTTAATACATGTACAGTATCATGTGCATACATATTGAAAGACCATTTTTAAATTCAATCAACAATGTCATTCTTCAAAAGAAAAGATATAGATTGTATACATGTAAAGATCAGTAAAGCCCATATTTTAAAAGTGGAAAAAATGTTTCTTGTGTGTATAATTTGTGTGGGATGGTGCATATCATTAACAAAACAAACAACAAAAAAGGACGGAATGTCTCGATAGCTGACTTTACAATGCAAGGCAAAAAATAATTGAAGGCCCACGTGACTGGGGTCGGTGATCTTTTTTTTTTTTTATCTCGCATAGTATATGGTAGGGGGCATCTGTCTTTTTGGTCAGTCCTATGTATGTATAACAAAATACAATTATAGTTGGGCGAGTAACTTCACAGGCTTGAAATAATTAAACAATATGTAAATTAAATACATGTATTCTTAAAAACCAAACTGCAAAACATAAATGTATATTATCTTAAGCAATATCTTTTCATTACACAGATTGATGCGAGCATGCATGAAATTTATTATACCCCCTGCTTGAAAAGAGGGAGGGTGTATTAAGGAGGAATGCCACACCAACTTTTTATTTTATAGATCTCCGAGTCATCCTTTTTAAACAATGGTTTCAGCATTGAGAGGCCGACATTAACTCTTAATTATTTTATATGAATTTTTTTGTATTTTTTCAAAGAAAATGGAAAAAATTAATTTCATCAAAATTAGATGCTTTCTTGTAAAATTTTTGCTGTAAATGAATGCATCACATGAATACCTAAACAAATATGTAAAGAAAGACTGGTTAGACTTTTTAATTTTTTTCTAAAAAATTATTTATGAAAATAAAACACATATTTACTGGCCGTTTTAGGAAATACTTGTAATTACTGAATAACCAGTAAATTCGTGTATTTACTGAAAAATTTAGCCAATTTTACACGTTTTTACTGAACTAAGCTGGATGAATATGCATATCCTTTAAACATATCAGTAGGAAAAACAAAATTGATATTAATATGCTTGTTTTAAAGCATTGTCTCTACAAAGCTGACGTTATGCATTACTTTTAAATACTCAGTGCATTGCTTTTCTAAAATTCCATTTAAGGACGTTGCTATCCTCTTGTGATGTTATAGGTATTTTACAGAAACTTTTATAAATTTCAATTTATACCTAATACAAAAATATCTTTTGGAAGAATGTTTTTCAGGTGTGGAGCTTTTAACAT